CTGCTGCTTCTGCTGCTGCTTCTGCTTCTGCTGCTTCTGCTGTTGGTACTGCTGCTGCCGTTTCTGCTGCTGCTTCTGGCTCTACGGCTGCGACCCCTGCCTCAAGCAGCAACACAGAGGCAGCATCTCCTGGCAGGGAGGCTGCAGGAATCGCCTCGAAAACAGTGGGAGTTGGCTCCGTGATTCCAAGAGGCGTGTGTGAGGCAGGTGTCATCTGAGAGGCGGGTGTCATCTGGAAGGCAGGTGTCATCTGAGAGGCAGGTGTCATTTGGGAGGCAGGTGTCATCTGGGAGACAAGTGTCATCTGGAAAGCAGGTGTCATCTGGGAGACAGGTGTCATCTGGGAGGCAGGTGTCATCTGGAAAGCAGGTGTCATCTGGGAGACAGGTGTCATCTGGAAAGCAGGTGTCATCTGGGAGGCAGGTGTCATCTGGGAGGCAGGTGTCATCTGAGAGGCTTGCAGTGCGCACGGCGTAGCATTGGGTGAAGGTTCAAAAGCACTGGGCGGCAACTGGAAAGCCAAAGGACGCTGCCCGATGGGCGGCAGGGAAAGCTCAGGCGGCGGTGTGTCAGGCACAGACCTCCACATAGCACCATCACCACTCTGAACCGTACTCAGCTCCATCCCTTCCCCATGCGACCCCTCTAACAGCAGCTGCTCTGCCTCACCCAGCCCATCCATCCCTTCCATTGCACCCATCATACCCATCTCATCCACCGCATGTGCCCCACCCATCGCACACGTCCCGTCCTCCTCCACTGCCCCCACAATCACCTCCACAGGCACGGCACGCCACATCTCCTCAATGCCAAACGTGCGCACCACCCGCTGCAGCGCCTCCGCGCTCACCCTCACTCGCTCCCCTCCCACACGCGCTCCTGTTCCTCCTGCCCCTGCTGCCCCTGCCGCCCGCCTCCCTGCTTCACCTCGCCCCCCTGCGGCTGCTGCTGCTGCTGCTGCGGCTGCTGCTGATGGTGTGCGAACTGGCTCTGGTGCCTCTCCACCTTCCGCCTTCTCACCTGCACCACCTGCTTCTGCTGCTCCACTGCTTCTCCGCGCTCCTGTCCCTCCTACCGCATCCACCATCCCCCCCTCATCCTCCCCATCCCCACCTCTACCACCTGGCCCATCAAGTGTCCACCCCTCTTCCTCCTCTCCTCTTTCTCCCCCCTCTCCCCCCTCTTCCCCCTCTCCTCCCACTCCCCGCTCTCCCCCCTCTCCCTCCTCTCCCCTCTCTCGCCCCAAATCCCCCGCCCCCTCACCCTCCGCCACCGCTCTGCACCGCCTCGCATCCTCCTCCACCCGAGCCCAGTACACAGCATCCAGAGGCCCCTCCACGCGTTCAGGCGCCTCAAGAGCAATCACCACCAGCATGGGTCCTCGCCGCCCCTCCTTGCCCCACTCCCTACTCGGCACCACTGCCTCACATTCATCACCTATGCTCACATCGCATGCATTGCTCGCATTGATTCCATTGCTTGTGATGTTCGTGTTGGTACCACTCTTCAAGTGACTTATGCCGCTTGCCTTGCTACACTTGCCTGCCGCATGACCTGCCTTGCTCATGCTGATTGCTTTATTCGCCTTCAGCTGTTCCGCCCCCAATTCTGCCAGCCTAGGGGAATGCCGTGCTGCCTTCCTCTGCCCCTGCTGCTCGCTCCACCGCTTCGCACCACTCCTAACCGCACCCGATGCTCCCTCACCTCTTCCCCGCAGCTGCCTCCCTTTTGCATCCCCGTTTGCTGCTCTGATCTCTGCTTTCTCCTCATCCTCACCCTCTACCCCTGTCTCTCCATTCCCAGCTGCTTCCCTCTCTGCACTCCCTTCAACCTCCCTCACTCCGTTCCCCTCTGCCTGCCCTTCAGCCTTCTCCTCTGCTTTCACCTCAACCACATCACACCCCTCCCCACCCACTCCCCCATCAGGTAGTGCAAGAACCTCACACGAAGCCGCCAGGGTTTCACCAGGCAACGCGGCAGGCAGGGCAGGGGCAGGCAACGCGGCAGGTAGAGCAATGAGCAGGGCAGGGGCAGAGAGGACAGGCACACCAGTGGTACTGGAAGGCTCAGCTGCCACAGGCACGAGGGCCAAGGGCTTTGCATCGTCAGCTGCTGCTGAGGACAGCTGCTTGTACAGGTTGCTTACAGGTAACGTGCGATGGTGACTGGCGCGAGGGTGGGTAGCGCGATGGTGGTGGGAGCGATGGTGGTGGTGGTGGGAGCGAGAGTGGCCGGACCGACGGGACCCACGGGGGAGACCGGGGGCAGCAGCAGCAGCAGCAGCGGCAGCTTTTGCAGTGGCGTCTGCAGCAGCAGCGTCAGCAGCGGCGCTGACAGCGAGAGCAGCAGCAGCAAGGTCGGAGCAGTACTGGTCAGAGAGGAAGGAGCAGGTGTCCTTGCACCATGGTGGTGCGTCCACATATGCCTTCTCCACCCCCCACATCAGTGCACTAGCACCGGTGCTGCCAGGAGCAGCGGCGGCAGCGGCGGCAGCAGCACCCTCCGCGCTGGCACTGGCAGCAGCGCTATACTCACCGGTGCCAGCAGCAGTGGCAGTTGCAGCACCGGTGCCTTCCTCTTGACCCTCCTCGTCCTCCCTTGCACCCACCCACTCTGCCCCTTCCCCACCCCACTGCAGCACGCGCCACGGCAGCCCCACATACCCCACCACCACACTCAACAGCTCCGCACCCGCTCCCACCTTTCCCAACCCCTCCAAATGCGCCAGCCGCTGCTTATGCCGCTGCCGCAGCACACTAGCCGGCCAGTTCTTGTATTTCACCAGTCGAATCTCCCCCTCTCCCCCCCGCCACCTCAGATCCTCCGGCAAAGGGTGGATTTTCAGGGGGAGGCGCACTCTCCCCCCTCCCTTATGGTGCTTCCTGGGAGAAATGGCGGGGAGTGGGGGAGTGTGAGGGGTGGGAGGGAGAGCAGAGTGACGGGCAGAGGGAGACGGGAGAGCTGGGCTTGGGGGGAGTGGAGGGGCGAGCGGGAGCATGTGCGGGCGCGGTGGGATGGGTTGCGGTTGAGAGTGGTGCGGGTCTGCTTCGAGCTTGAGCTTAACTTTGAGTTTCTTCACTCGCCTGTGCCCGTTCACTCCCTTAGACGCCCACATATGCTCCAAGACCAACCCCTCCCCCGCCCCTTCTTTCGCCCTCACCCCTCCCCCCTGTACCCCCAGCGCCTTACCCCTTAGGCTAAACTTCCCTCCCCGCCCCAGGCCCCTTCCTGCGCCCTTCCGTCCAGGCAGCATCAGCTTTCCCCCGCCCCTCCCCATCCCCCTCCTGCCCCCCAGTCTCCCCCCAACCACCGCCCCTGCCGCCCTCACCCCCCCCGGCCCCCCTGCTGCTGCTCCACCCGCCCCTCCCGCCCCTCTCCCTCCAGTCCCCAGCTTCCACTGCCCAGCCGGCCCAGGCATAAGCGGCGGCAGGGCGGCAGGGGCGGCAGCGGGCGGCAGGACCGGCAGCGCCTTTTCCAAAACAGCCGTCCCGGGGAAAACCAGCACGTCCAGCTGTAGCAGCTGCCGCCGCCCCTCCGCTGACATGTCAGCAAAGCCAAAGCCCTGGCGCCACGTGGCATCGGCCTCGGGGACAGCTGGCAGGAGGAACCTGCGAACGCCCAGGGAGGCGAGCAGGTGCTCTATCTGCTGCAGCAGGCGCCGGCACATGCCCTGGCGGCGGTAGCGGAAACGGGTTCCGATGAGGGGCATCTCTGCTAGCTCACAGCCGTACACCCTGTGAACACAGGCAAGGGGGGAGGAGGGATGAAGTAGGGCAAGGGGGAGATGAGGGGGTGGTACACATGCAGTGCTGCTGCAGCAGGCGGCGGCACATGCCCTGGCGGCGGTAGCGGAAGCGCGTGCCTATGAGGGGCATCTCTGCTAACTCACAGCCGTACACCCTGAAGAGCACAGACAAGGGGGGAGTTGAAGGAGGCGGGGTGGAGGGCGGTGTGGGTGGGGACATGAGGGGTGAGAAAATGATGAAACGAACACAGCCTGCCTCGCTCGTACAATGCACAACACCAGAAATGGTGGCGGAGCGGCTTCAGCAGCCCATCTGATGCTGGCAGCAGAGAACCCACTCCTCCAGCAAGGCCCCGGCAAATACAGGTGACCCAACCAACCCATGTGTGCATGCATGGAGTACAAAGGCTGAGGAGTCCCTGCGGCAGCTTACCTGATGCTAGCGGCAGTGATGGACTCCTTGCCCTGCTGCAGCACTGCCCTGTGGATGCAGGCTCCACTGACGATGCTAGCAGAAATGGGACCATGGCACCATGCGTGCAGCAGCTTACCTGATGCTGGCGGCGGTGATGGACTCCTTGCCCTGCTGCAGCACTGCAGTGTAGAACCCCGAATAGTCCCGATGCTTCGTGCTGCAGTGGGTGGGAGAGGGGGTGCACATGGGCGGAGAGGAGTGGGCAGGAGTGAAGAGGAGTGGAGCGAAACCTGAGGAGAAACGCCAGTGGATGAGGGAAAGGAGAGATTGTGTGGGTGCGGGTGCGGGTGACAAGGTCCCCTCCCCGCAGGTCACATGCACGAGCAGGAGGAGCAGAGGGAGCAAGGGAGGGCACAGGGGAATGCACAAGGGAGGAAACAGAAAAGGGCCAAGGGGAGGGCACAGGGAAGAGCAAGCAAGGGGTAGGGGAGGTGACCTCTTGCTGTGCACGATGATGGGGACGAGGTCCTCGCCAGTGAAGGCGTCTTTAATGGGATGGAAGCACTCGCGCATCACCTCCATGCCGCACCGCAGCTTCCTCTCCACCTCCCCCGTCCGCTCCCTCAGTAGGTTGTCGTGCCGCCGCTCCTCCTTGGTCACTGACCCTGCCTCGCTGCGCGGGCCCTCCGCGTGCAGAAGCGTCCAGGAGAAGCCGCCCGGGAGGGCGATGGGCTTGCCTATGAGGCGTTGCAGGCCGAAGAATACCTGTGGGGTGAGGGGTGTGGGTGGGGTGAGGGGTGAAGGTTGAGGGGTTAGAGGTGAGGGGTTGGGGGTCAGGGGTCAGGGGTGAGGGCTTAGGACTGAGGGGGTAAAGGTGAGCGATTAGGGATGGGGGGTTAGGGCGTATTCGTAGCTTTGTGTCATCCCGAATTTGTGTCATCCGAAATTGTGGGAGCCAATCTGAAAACCCGCGGTTCGAGATTCGAATTTTCCGATTGGATCCCATGATTTCGGATGACACGAAGCCTAGATGACACGAAGTCAGGAATACGCCCTTAGGGGTGAGGAGTGAGGGGTTGGGGAAGGAGTTAGGATTTTTCGGGTGGGATGAGGGGTTCAGGGTGAGTTGAGGGGGAATATTGACAGGTGAGGCGTAACAAGAACGGGCAGTGGAAGAAAGCAAAAGACACTCACGGTGCGGCACTGTGGGCGGCAGAAGAACCGGCCGGTGGGCAGCTCCTTGAGATCCGCCCACCCCATGTCCCTGAGACAGCTCACATGATCTGATTGGGGAGGTGGGAGGGGTGCATGGAGGAGTGGGAGAGGCTTGAGTCATGGGAGAAGCAAGGCAGAAGAAGAAGAGGCCGGTGGGGAGATCCTTAAAGTCCGCCCACCCCATGTCCCTGAGACAGCTCACATGATCTGATTGGGGGAGCGGGGGCGGGCGGAGGAGAAGGCGAGGAGGGAGGAGAGAGAAAGTGGGTGGGTTGGAAGGAAGAGAAAGGGAAGAATTGTTGGAGGCATGGTTAAGGAGCACGGTGGCTTAATAGGCTTAGACATATGCAACTGACACACGTTGTGGAGGCGGCAACAATGCAATGCAGCACAGGGAGTGCGGAACTGGCAAGGGGAGCCAATGAGTGCAAGGGCAGGAGGTGGTGTGTAAACCCTACACCCCTCCTTCAACTCACACTCGCGCTCGCACTGGTCGCAGAAGATGACGGTGTCGTCGCCAAAGCCCTGCGTGCCGTAGTGGCTGCCCCCGCAGATGGAGCAGCGGCATGCCGGACAGAACCAGTTGCCCCCTGGCAACGCCTGCTCGCCACGCATGGGGAGATGGGAAGGTGAGGGGTTGGGAAAGTGAGGGGATGGGAAGGTGGGAAGATGGGGAAGTGAGGGGATGGGGAGGTGGGGGGATGGGGAGGTGGGAAGATGGAGAGGTCGGGGGATGAGGAGTTGGGGGGATGCGGACAAGATCAAGATTACAGGGTTCCTATGCAGAGGGGATGAGAGGGGCAAGCAGGAGGCACGAGAATGGAACACACCTGCAGGCCAGCGCAGGGCAGGTGCAGTGTGGCAGGGCACGCATCGCAGCACAGCAGCTCGCCACCATCCCCACACAGCCTACACAGCACATCACTGTAGTCATTCCGCTCCCCCGCTCCCCCCTCCCCTTCCGCGCCCTCCCCGCCCCCCTCACCCCCTGCGCCTTTCACCTTCGACCCCAGCCCCTTCACTCTCACCACCTTCCTCGCCGCTGCCCCCTCCCCCTTCCCCTCCTCCCGCCCACCACCTGACGTTCCCCTCCCGCCTGCCTCCCTCACTGCGCCATTCCCCGCAGCCACCCCACCTCCACCCCCACCCCCAGCAGCGCTCACGCCTGCGCCTGTGCCTCCCCCATACGCGCTCCTCTCCGCCTCCATCTTGCACACGGCCAGCGTCCGCCCGTCCTCCAGAAACATATTCGCCGCGGGGCGCCTGTACGTCACCCCTGTGTGCGCCTCAAACCCAGAGAGGTTAAACATGCGTCCGCAGCAGTCGCACGTCACGCCCTGCCGCGACAGCCGCCCGCTCTTGAGCGCGCGCCTTTCCCGCATGTCCCTATACTCGACTGCCTCGCCGTCTCTCACCAGCCCTTGGTCTATCAGCCGCGCTAGGTCCCTCCCCGGTGGGTACACCTTCGCTATAGAGTGCTTCTTGTGCGCGGGAGCCCTGCGCGCGGGGGGAACGTCCGCGCTGCCCGCGTGCTCCGCGGAGTCCGGGGCAAAACCCCCCCCAATTGCCTCCCCTGCTGCCTCGTCCGCTGCCCCAGGCGCCTCTCTCACGCGCAACTGCCGCGCCCTCCCTCTGCTGCCCTGCGCCTTGGTCCCCTTGCCGATCACCACTGCGCCCTCTCTCCGCCTCCCCGCGCTGCCCTCTCCCGCCGCCTGCTTCCCCCCTGACCCTCCCCCTCCGCCCAGGCTCACTCGCTTCTGCTCCGTCACGCGCTTTCCCCTCGGCGCAACCCTGTCCAAGGGCGACCCAGCCTCGTGCTGATTCACCCCACTCGCCTCTCCCGCCTCTCCCGCCAATCTGCCGTCTCTCAACCCTCTCCCTTCTCTCGCCTGGCTCACATCAGACACTTCGTTCACCTCCCGTACGTGCTGCGATCCTGCGCCCCGTGAATGCAGCACGCCGAGCCCCGTGCCTGCGCCCGCACCGTGACCCAACCCTAACCCTAACCCTAACCCTAAACCTGAGTCCCTGCGCCTGATCTTCTTTCCGCCGCTATAACGCCCCATGTCTGCCCTAGTAGTCGTATCCAGGCCACCAGAGGCCACCTTGGGAGTGTCGGCTGCAGCAGCATCAGGAACTGCTTCAGAGCCTCCATCCAAACTAGCCCCTGTTCTCGGTGTTATCGAGGCTGTCTGTTCGTGCGCAAGCTCGCTGCTAATCGCGCCGTTCTCATCCCCTCGACCATCCCCGCGCGGCTTCAAGCTAAGTCTCGCTACGCCGTTCTCGCAACCCGCGCTTCCGCTACCCGCAATCCTCGCCGCAGCCCCCTCCACCTTCCGCGGGTGCCACTCGCCCGTGCGCTCGTCCCAATCCTGACCGAACCGCAACAAACCGATCGCAACCGACTCCGACGTCGCTTCGTCGGGAAACTCCACGGGTACTTCTGTGCGCTTGCCGACGCGCACGACGTCCGCGAGGAGGAACCCCTCCCACCACGCGTCGTTGCACAGCATGTCCACCGGCGCGCCCGCGCGCCACCGCCTGTACGACGGCACGTGCTCCTGCGGCGGGCGCGGCCGCAGCACCGGCTTCACCGCGCGGCCGTTCACCCCGTCCGCCGTTACCAGCTTCGCGAATTTCGCCATTGCGGACTCGATCAGAGTTTTCCACGGGGAATCGGGGGGTGGAGCCTGGCACGGAGTTCCCGAGGTAAAGTAGGACGCGAGAGGAATGGCTTCGACGAGCGGCTCGGAGAGGTCGTCTGTGATAAGCTCCTGGTACTGCACGACGCGCCAGCCGTCTTCCACGCCCACCACCACCGCCGGGTGCCATGACCCGCGCAAACCCTCCTCCAGCTGCCGCACCTGCAGGGAATCGGCGGAGGGAAACGATGGAGATTCGTGCGGAAAGTGGAAATTGCGCCACTGAACGGCAGAAAATAAAACGAAGCTTGAGACAAAAATTCACGAAAAGTACGTGGTCGCAGCAGCGAAACGAGAACGACGGTAAGAAAGCAGACGCGAAGCTAAAATGAATACGTCTGGTGATACTATATTGAAGTATCACGGCAGCTATCCAATGCTACGCCTGGTGGACTTAATCGACTCAGACGCACGAATGAATCTCCTAATATCCAGATTCGTCACCTGCGCGACGGCAACGAAACGAAACTACAGGAAACGAAACGGATAAGATACCTCGACTTCCAAACCGACGGCCAACCGTCCTCCTTCTGAAATCTGATCCTGGCTGGAATCATCCGACGAAACCTCCACCACTGCGTCGTCTTCCGATTCAGCTGACGGCATCTTGCCAGGAAGCTGGACCTTCAAAAGGCCCCAACCTTCGCTATCGCAAAGCGCGACCATCCGTGACGGCCCCGCATTGAGCGAGCGACACGGGACGAACGACGCGCTACTTCAAGAATTCAAAATACTAAGCTGCTGTTAGCTACAAGAATCCTGCTTTTCACTTCTGATTATTGCTGCTGGTTTCTTGTTTCTCGCTTATTTCTGAGGCGGATGTAAGAATTGCTGCAGCAGGGTGGTTGGTGGATATGGGTGAGGCGGAGGGGTCTGCTCTGCACCCAACGGACGGTGGGATGAAGACCACGCCCCACAGAGTGATAATCGAGGGTCGATCGAACGCTCACGAATTTGATCTGTATTTCGGTTCCGTGACACTTGCTGGCTAGGGTTTCTTCTAACGAGGGTGCGGACAAGAACACTCGTCAGTCCCTCATTCATCTTCTTGTGTTAAATCTCGTGTAGAAGAAACATAAACAGCAAGCATTACTAGTAGTATAGATACTTTTATGTTAACAGTCAAAATCATATCCTAACCTAATTTGGAAACTTTTGAAGGGCTCCAACTGAAGCTATTCTATGAGATGCTCACTAAGCTCCCAGCGAAACTAGCTCCATGAGGGGAAGGGAGCACACCTTGTGGCATGCCTACGTCGTATGCATCAAAAAGTGATGCCCCTGCTCCTGTTACCTGCACGCTGCCTACGCCGGGGTCACACGGCGATATTAACGCAATTGGAACTTGGGCTCCGGGAGTTCCTGCAGATCTGTTACCTTCATAGACGATCCTGTCAAGCCGGCACCTACCCAAGGCTGCCGTGTGACAGTTCCCTAATGGCTGAGGTGTCGTGTCGAATGCTGTGAGTTCTCCTATGACTGTATGAGCCCCCGCAGCTGGTGCAGGCGTCAGTGTTGCTCCTGAAGATAGTGTCAGTTTGTTTGTGGGTGTCAGAAGGCTGGACGGAGTGAAAGGGATCATTTTAGGACTGGGCAGGATGAGAGGCGATTCGTCAAGAGAGGAGTCGGCTGACCAGAGGTTGGTGGGATCAGTACCTTCCCACATGCTGCAAGCAACAACCAAGCAGAAAATGACAGGAGAGGTAAACTGAGATTATTGAGAAGGCCAGAAAAGCTGTCAAAGAGACACAAGGAACATGAAACAAGGCGACTGACCAGTAAAATCATGCGGGTAACTAACCTGTTGATGAGCGCGAGGGGGCTGGGCAATTTCTCAGACACCATGGTGGTATCAGCCGTCGCGCCTGCTGCCAGGTTGCTCCCTCCACCCACACCCAGACCTGCAGGAACGTCCATCCCAGCTACAGCGCTGTCAGTGGCATCTGCTTCAGTGTCCCCAGGAAGGCACGGGATGATGAGGCGAGGGGGCATTCTGAACCCTGCTCTCACCCGCCCTGCACTGCCAGGCAGCGCAGTCAGCCGTGTCAATGCAGCCTGAGTGCTTGGCTGTGACCTAGTCAGGCCAGCTTCTAAGCACGCAGGAGGGGGCATTGCCGTATTATCAGTCACGCCCCTGCTGGGCTGACTGCGCGTGGCGCCTGTGGAGACTGTGGTGCCTGCGTTGATGCTACCAACCTCCACCTCGCCCCCTTGTCCCATCCCAGCTTGATCTTCCCCGTCAACGCCAGACCCTTCCCGCCATGCGCGGCCTGGGCGCGGACTGCGCCATTTTGCCTCCGCTTCCGCCAGTACCCTGGGCGTTGTGCGCGCGGGCACCGCCAAGGGAGCAAGCGCAAGGGGCTCAGAAGGCAGTGGCGGGCTCGCCGGGAAGTGGGCGGAAGGGCTGTCGCAGGGGGAAGCGGAAGAAGCGGAAGGACTATCGTCGTCGGCGGAGGGAGTCCTGGGGGAAGCTTCTCCCGCTGGTGCGAAAGGGGAAGTGATGGCGGAAGGGGGGAGGTTGCACGGGGAGGGAGGCGCACCGGGAGGTGCGCGGGGAGCGGGACGGGGAGCGGCGGGGGCGTGGAGGGGAGGGAGGAGCTGGGAGGAGGAACCGGTGGGCGACGCGAAACCCGCGTCGTGCGTCGACTCATCCACGCGACGACGTTTTGACAGAGGTTCATCAACGCTTTGCGCCGATGCTACCGCCAGCGGAGCAGGCCCCGCGGGGACTCCCTTTCGCGGATCCTCCCCCAGAGCGGCGGCGAGGAGGCTAGAGGGGGCGAGCAGGGGCGGCGCGGAGGGCAGCGGGAGGTGCGAGTCGGGATCGACGCCGAGGTCCCTCAGTCGCCGCTTTAATCGAGTGTTCCAGTGGTTCTTAATGTCGTTGTCGGTGCGCCCCGGCATCTCGAGCGCGATCTTCGCCCAACGGTTGCCCATCTGACGGTGCAGGCGCACCACGAGATCCTCCTCGTCGCGCGAAAACGCGCCTCGCTTCAAGTCGGGCCGCAGGTAGTTGGTCCATCGCAGGCGACAGCTCTTGCCGCACCGCTGCAACCCTGTGACGCGGAGTGGAGGAGATAAGAGGAAGGGAGAAGAGGGGGTGGTGAGCGGTGTCCGGTACGGAACGACGAAAAAGCGGAGTGGAACTAGGGGTGACGACAATGGCGAAGGTGGGGAACGGGCGGAACATGGAAAACAATTAGCTTGGAGATCAAGCTTGGTCAAGACAACCCATGGTGGAACATTCGGGCGTAGAAGCTGGCATCGATTCGCATGCAGCCAGCCCGCGTCTACTGTGATCGCTTGTGTGCGTTTTGGGTTTTGCTTGCCATTAACTTACACCTACACTCTATGCGAGCTACATCCACGTACCGGCTTTCCTGGGAATGGCGCTCCAGTTGCCGTCGCCGTGTTCCGCGATGCATTTCACGAGCAGCTCGTCCTCCTCCGCCGTCCACGACCCTTTTCTCAACTCCGCCTTGTCGCCGCCACACGTGCTTGCACGGGCCATTCTGCTACGAGGAATACGCGCATGCGCGACAAGACACGCGTTTGCTTTTTGGGTTGATCAATGTCGCTGTGGCGTAGCTGGTCGATAGACTACGAGGTGTTTGCTGGTTTCGGAATTGTCAGCATCAGAGTCGTGCAAAGAGCGAAGCAGTTTGGCGTAGCCTGTGAAAAGGTGATAACGAACAACTAGGGTGCACGCACATTGGTTTAGGGTTGTGCTTGCTCTATTATGCCTTGCTGTGTGTCCTGCATTTCCGTCTCGCGAATTTTTGAACGCCCTCGACAAAATTCGCCCCTCGTTCCGCGCGATTCGTCCCTCAAATTCCCCACACCGCGACTCCGCTCCGCGCTGTCCTTGTGGGGGGGAACGGGAAGGAGGGGTACTGTAGTGGGGGAAGAATAAACAGCCAATATAATAGATACTCAAAGTATTCCCGAGCGGTTTCTCAGGTGTAATCAACAACAGAAAGACAGTTTCGCGATATAGTAGTAAGTGTTTCTTGTTGTTTTCTAAATACAGTCACTACAGAAAATGCAGCACCTGAAAAAAAAAACTTGTAGCGAACCTAGATGAATTTCGAGACAGATCAACCCTAACTACGGGAAGCCGCCCACTTCAGGAGAAATATATTGCACTTTCTTGACCCAAAAAATAGCACTTAATCGGAATGGGATGCGACTCGGGAGGCATCAACCCTAAAAACAATGCCCTTTCCCGTGTTTAGGGTTGATCCCTCCCGAAAATTCGTCCAGATTCTATAGGGGTTTAGTTTTTTCTGCCCTGTCGTAAACTTACGTACTTTAATTTAACAAATTCAGGTCGGGAGGGTAACTAGATAGTTTTGTTTTTGTCACTTATTAAAGATTTCGACCAGCGTAAACAATGTGACTAAGAAGCGACAACCAATCAAAGTTGAGAATGTCCAGGTTGAACACACCTGAGATCCTGCTCGGGACTAATCTGAGTATGTATGAAGTTGGCCGAAGAATAAAGCTGGGGCAGGAGACACCGAGACTGACCTTTCGCCAGCTGGAGGAAGCGGGGGGTTTCTTGGACCAGAGGGGGGAAACTCCACGTCAACTAGACAGGCCATTTATCAACTGTTACCGATCTATCCAGTAGCTTCCAGTAGCACGAACCCACGTAGATCGGAACCCGTCATCAATGCGACGTCCAGCGAGGACTCGCACGGTTCTCCTCAACCCGACACGAGCACAAGCTTCTGCCACGCCAAGGCGGCTGCAGGCATAATAATAAGCAGGCATGGAGCTGACGACGCAGCATCACGCGACTGTCTACACGCTGCCGTACAGCTGTAACCAATCTTGCCAAAGTTTCACAAAAAATGTGGGTGTGTATCACTGAAGATAACAGCCCAAAAAGTTCAAGCCTAACATCTTGGTTCACAGCCGAAGAACCGCAAGTGTCGCACTGTAGATCGTAACATCTGGTGGAGTCAAAGCCAGTTACGGGCAGACGATAATCTATAACCAATTTGTGAACCAGCGCCATTGACGGTGCCATTCGAATGGCAGCCTCAAGTTGAAATCAGAGTGAGGTGGACAACGCGAGTTGTGGATTGCGAGACAGATCGAATGTCCATCCAGATAGCATCTTCGTGGGAGAGCGCAGCCATCTCCTCTTCACTTTTGGCGTGAACTGCAGGCCTCAGATCGTGTGGCCAGAATGCACCTCATCCTCCTCCCAACGAGGCTTGAAGCTCATCCACGGTCAAAGGATAGGATTCACTGTTGACGTCAGCTCTTGACTTCACAGCTGCATCTCACACGCGTTGCAATCGTAGAAAAGGGCACTTGTTGTCGTGGCGGAGGGGGAACATGACGTCAAGTTCCAACCAACATGGACCTTTCATCTTCCAACACAACACAAACCACAACACTCATACGCTGTATTGTTCTAGCTTTTATTGATAGACTTTAAGGAACTAGATACACCTTCACACCCAAAGGCTCTATAGGACCAAAACAAACGTCCACATCATATAACACCTCTAGACATAATCACACGGACAATACATACATTAGTACATATGTCAGTGGTGCCTTCGAATATTACACCAGTTTCGACATAAAACTCCTTCGAAATTGACCCCTTATGCAAATATTGACGACCTAAAATTTCGACCCCGGTCACATCCTTTGTGTCATCACCAACTACTCGCATGGGCTGGAAAACCACTTAATCCTCGCGCACAAAAGGGATGCAGCTCAGGTGGAGACTACATGAACTCGGCAACGGAGGTCGAAGAGTGGGTCAACCATATGTATATCATTAAATATATTTCTATATAATTGCTTTTTGCATTAACATCACGTAGTGTAGCCTAATGCTGGTGGTGCACCCCTTGCATGCTTGCTATATCTTGTAACTCTTCTCTTGGTGAACCCCTATTCTCAACTCTCTCGATACTCACGCTAGTACCCAGAACCCTACCCATGGTTCCTACGTCTAATCAGTTCCTTTCAATATGCTATCAGAGCCGGTCCTTCCTAGGACCTAATCATCATGGGCCCACCAAACGCGCCATCGTCCATGGCGGTCTACTGTTCTGCTTTCGCGGTTGCTACTGCCAGTGGCATGATATCTGCAAATGCTGACGCTGTATTTGCTGCACTAGTCGCGCTGCCCCGTTGCCCCGTCGACCCTTCTGTCATGGCGACGAGCTGGGCGGCTCACGCTGCCCCGTCGTCCCGTCGCCTCGTCACCCAACTCGTTCCGCGCTGCCCCGCCCCTCGTCCCGTTACGAGCAGCCGGAGGAACCACGCACAGCCGCACGCAGCTGTCAGAATGCATTATTTGTCTAGTTGGCAGTGGGGTACTCTATAGTGAGTACAACCCAACTAGGGTTTGGTATATGTATCCCATTGCTTGCTAGTGAATGCCCCTCTTTTCTGTTTCAACTTTGTGCCTACTATTCTGACATGCTATCAGAGCGAGATCGCTCCTGGCCTGTGGACCCACCTGCTTCCACTGCTGTCCTACCTGTCGCGCGCCTTGGGCGCGCGATGTCTTCTGCCTGCCGCGCGCCCTGCGCGCGTGGCGTTTTTTCTTCCCGCCGCGTGCTCGGGGCGCGCGGCAGTTTTCTGCCCGCCACATGCCCCGGGCGCGCGCGGCGGTTTCGTCGCCCGACGTGGCGCCCCGGTGACCCGCGCGCTGTCCCCTCCCGTCGCCCGCCGCGACGTCCCGGGGGCCTGCGCGCCGCCCCCCTCCTGTTGCCCGTCGAAGCGCCCCGGGGGCCCGCGCGCCGCCCTGCTCGCCCGCCGCGGCGCCCTGGGGGCCTGCGCGTCGCCCCCCCTCCCGTCGCCCGTCGCGGCGCCCTTGGGGTCTGCGCGCCGCCCTGCCCGTCGCCCATCGCAGTGCCCCAGGGACCCGCACGCTGCCCCAGCTGCTGCCCGCGTATCTGCCCCGCGCCGCACACGCGCCGCCTGCATTTGGGGTATGGGGGTGGCGGGTATGGGGGTGGCGGGTGTGTGAGCCGTCCCCTGCTCCTCCTCCTCCTCTGCCTCCCACTGCTGTAGCTGCCGCTGAGGGGGGTGGGTGTGTGGGAGCCGAGGTAGTGGCGCTAGGGGGGTGTCATGGGAGTGGAGCTAGGGGTGCAGCAAGGGGTGTGTGAAAGGGGTGTGTGAAAGGGGTGTGGGACACTTGGGGGAGGTTGAACGGAGGTAGCCGTCGTGACGTCAGCAGCGCCAGTAGTTCGGGGGTCACCCTTGTTCCGGTAGCCCAGCGAGCCTGCTGCGCCAGTCGCCCGTGGGTCCGTTGCTCCAGCCGCTCGTCTTAGCCGCAGAGCCAGTGACTCCAGTAGTCCGGATACCCTTGCTTGTGTCCGGTAGCCCGTGCGCGCCGCTCCTGTTGCCCGTATGTCTGCGGCTTCACCCGTCGCCTCCTATCTCCACTACTCTCACAGTCCCTCCTCCTCCTCACTTGCCCTCTGTGACTGCCTCTAGTTAACCTTGTGCTTGTGAACTTTTTATGCGACTGCTTGATGTGCTGATCATACCCCACTTTGCCTATGGGGGTGTGTCAGAATGTGTTATTTGTCTAGTATGCAGTGGGGTACTCTATAGTGAGTACAGCCCAACTAGGGTTTGCTATATGTATCCCATTGCTTGCTAGTGAAAACCCCTCTTTTATGTTTCAACTTTGTGCCTACTATTCTGACAGCAGCTGCGTACGGCCGCGTGAAGCCGCGCACAGCTGCGCGCAGCTGCGTACGACCGCACACAACTGCGCCGTTCCCCTGCCCCGCACCTGCTGCTCGTATGCCAGTGAAAGAGGGGTGGGGGGGGGGGGGGGGGGGGGGAGGTGTGGGGGTGACACAGCTCCTGCCACCGCTGTTGCCCTTCTTCTCCCTCTCCCTGCTGCGCGTGCAGCAATGGGGGGGGGAGGGTTTGGGGTGGCGAGTGTGAGCAACCTATTGCGGCCCCTCCTCCTCTCTCTCTCACTGCCGCACGTGCCGCTGTGGGGGGAAAGTGAGGGGGTGGCGGAAGGGGTCGGTTCCTGGTGGCGGCTGAACAGGGGGGTGAGGTTTGAGGGGGTGGCTGAAAGGGGGTGTGGAATTGGGGGTTCGCAGGGGGGGTCCACCGCTTGGCTCCCCCCCCACCTCCTCTCCTCATCCGTCTCTCACCTCCACCTCTGTAAATTGGGGTTCGTAAGAGGGGCTCGCCGCAACTGGCTCCCCCCCACTTCCTCTCTTCATCTCTCTCTCTCTCTCTCTCTCTCTCTCTCTCTCTCTCGCTCGTTCTCTCTCTTCTCTCTCTCTCTCTCTCTCTCTCTCTCTCTCTCTCTCTCTCTCGCCTCCTCCTCCTGACTTACTCTCTGCTACTTCCACTGCATGCTACTTCTGCTACGCACTCTGCATGGTGTGCCCCTTCAGGGGGGGTAACTACACTTCTTCCTACAAGCAATTATGGGGGCGTGTCGAAAAATGCTTTACATATTTAATAACTGCTTGTAGTTGTAGTGTAGTTATTTTGCTTTGT